GACCTTGGCTACGTTACTTTATGCTGCTTTTGCTTGTTTTAGGGGCCTGTGTTTGTTACCTGTGTGATCTTAATCTTCACAGCAACTGTGAGAACCACCTCCTCTTTTATCCTCTCCATTTTACAGGGAAGACAACTGAGGTATGGAGAGATTAACTGAGTTGCCTGCAGCCAGCGGGCAGTAAGAGGAGGAACAGATAGATCCTGGGTTCATGTCTGTGGCACCGTGTCTGGGCAGCTCGTGGTGGGCAGCGGAAGGCCATGGGGGCTGGGCACAAAAGACCCCAGCCTTCTCAAGCAGACTTGGAGGGGGCTGGGGCTGGGGGTGAGGGAGGTGGCCTGGCTCTCCCTAGCGTGTCCCCTGCCCTCAGAGTGGATGGTGAGTGGCTGTGGAAGGGCAGGGACTTGTCTGAATCAGGACGTTCCCCACCCCAGCCCTGGCTGTGGTCCAGGGAGAGAGGGAAGCCCGGAGAGGAGCCCCCCAGTGGCTCTGAAACTGTGGAGAGAGTAAGATATGTCGGGGTGGTGACGGGGGCGGGGGTGCTGCTAGACACTGCTGGGACTGGCTGTCCTGGGCTGGAAGCTTTAGGGGTTCTGTGGGACGAGGCTACCAGTCAGTCCTGCCTGGGGGTGACGGGGGGAGGAGAATGGCAGGGGTGTCAGTCTGTTGGGCAGGATGCCACACCTACCCTGCAGTGTGCCTGTGCACTTGTGTACTCCCTGCGAGTGTCAGTGTGTATGTGGGTGAGGGGCCTGGTGGTGGGCCCAGGTGTGTGGTGTGTGTGTGTACCTGGTTGGGTGAGGTCTATTCAGGGACATGGCCATCAAGCAGGTGGCAGCAGGGTGGGAGCTGGGAGCTCACGGTGTGTGCTGTGTGCTGTGGAGAAAGGGTGGACATTGGGTGGTACAGAGGGTGTGGGAAGTGGGACTGTGGTAAGGTGTAGGAACCCTGGCTCAGGAGGAGCAGTGGGTCTGGGTGACCTCAGAGTATTTGGGGCAAGGGTGTCAGAGACCAAGGGCCAGTGTTCACAGCACAGTCCTAACCCAACATCTGCATCTGTGGGATGGGGATCAAGGAGACAGCACAAGTGGGGTATTTCCAGCACCTGGCAGGCAGCCAGCCCTCTGCCAGAGCCCACTGGCCTCCATGGCTCCTCTGGGCCCCAATGCTCAGATCCCCAGGAGCCCACCTGGAATCCTCTGCTGGGTGTCTACCCTGGGGTTGGTGGTGGCAGGAAGCAGGAGGGTAGGCACTTCCTGGTGGGCATGCTCTTTGTTGAGGTTTATGTGGGGCATCTGTGAGCTGAGGAAGGCTGTGGTGTATGTCTGCAAGTGTCCCTGGGGTGTGTGTGTGTGTGTGTGTAGCTCAGGGTGTAGCAGATGGGAGGTGTGTGCTGGAGTGCATTGGGCTGTATTCCCAATACGCTCTGGAGAATGTACAGGTTGGCGTTGGCAAACATTGTTAATTGTGTGGTATGTGTGCATGTGTGTGTTTGTGTGTTAGAATGTGTGTGTCTGGGGCATGCAGTGCATACATGAAGATGTTGGGCTTTATGGTTTGTCAGTCACTGTGTGTGTGGGGGGGGAGGGGTGTCCGCCACCCTGTGAGGTGGGAGGGTATGAATTTACCTGGAGGGTCACAGTGTGGGTCCAGGAGAAGCCAGTAGGATCATGGGGCATTTGGATTTAGTTTTGCTTGAAGGGAATAGCATGGATAATTATGTACATTATGCATGAAATTATGTAAATGTGGAGGTCATTTAGGAGTCAAAGGCTGGTTGCCACTCTCCTTTGGCATTTTGTGACTCCCAAGATGTTCCGTGCTGCCTTCGAGGCCATTTCCATTCCCCTTCCCTTGGCACTCCACAAGAAGCCACCTCCCACAGGCCTTGGGTGTCCCCAGTGTTGAGTCCCCCCAGCCACCCTCTGCACCTCATTTGGGGGCTGCTTATTATTTGGGAAGAATGTTCTTTCAGAGGCAGGCTTGGAAAATCACTGAGGTAGCCCTTTCCCTAGCCTTGTCTGATCAGCAGGAAGCTAAATTAAGATGTGAGAGCTTTCTGCTTCCGACTCTTGCCTTCTCACCCTCCTTCTGCCCCTTCCCTGGCCTGTGGCCCTCTACCCCCTGGCCCCTCTCTGTCCTCTGCCTCTCCATCCCTGTCTCCACCCTCCCTCTCTGTTCCTCCAGGATCTCTCCCTCTCCTGCACCCCCCCCCATCTCTGTGGGGAGCTGCAGCTCATGGTCCTTACCATGGAGGAGATGGTTGTCATGGTAACGGTTGTCATGTCAATGGCTACTGAGCTAGGGATGAATAGTATCTAGGTGAGAGCTACCTGAGTGGAGGCTGATGGATTCACAGGAGGCTTGATGCTTGTCTCTGAGCCTCAGAGCTGCACAGTACACCCCACCCCGCCACTTCCCTCTCTTGCAGTGCTGTGTGCACCAAAGGCACGCTGACACATTGCCTTGCTGTGGCTGCCTTTAGGTGAGTGTGTTGGGGTTGCTGCTGTGTTCTCTGTCTCTGGGTGTGTCATCTCCAGAGGTTTCTGCGGCTTTGGGAGGTAGGGGACTCTTTGGGTTTGTGCAGATCTTTCCAGAGTCAGGATGTTGGGGGCTGCTGCATTGCACTAGTCACCATGGAAACTTGACTCCCTGTTTGGGGTCCCAGGGAGCACTGACTTCTCAAAATCCTTCCTCTCCACTAATGGCCTCCTGGTCACTCCCCAGCTGCCTGAGGGGTAGAAAGTGAAGTTGGCCCTGCTCAAGCCCGGTGGCTGCTTAGTTCCCAGGGGCAGAAAGTTCCTGGGGGACTCCCGCTTGCGCTCCTGGGGATTTGTTCCTCTGGCTGGAGATGGGAGCAGCAAACACCTGGACAGTGGCTGCTGTGCACTCCTGGAATGTCTGAAAAGGAGGAAAACCCAGCAATTAGTCACGGGAACACTTACGCTAATTGTTCCACTCCATGACTCACTGGTAGAAAGTAAATACTGATTAATTCATTACTTGGAGACGTGTGTGTGCGCACGCGTGTGTGTGCGTGTGTGCGTGTGTGTGTGGTGAGGGGGCATCTCCTGGCTCCTTGCCCTGGCTGGGCTGTGCAGGGCTTGGAGCAGGTGGTTGAGGCTGCAGGCAGGAAGCCAGGACTGAGATCCTGTCTCTGGCTCTGAATGAACTCCAGAAGGAGGCCTATTGGTGGCAGGAGTATGAGAGGCTGTGCACAAAGTGCTGATCCAGCCCCTCTCCTGCTCATACACCTTTCACAGCTCCCACTGCCAGTCAAACATTGCAGATGCTCAGGCACTGAGACCTACTGGACTCCTGCATTTAGCTCTCACAAAATTCTTTGTTGTGCATTGACCAGTTTTCAAGAGAAAAACTGCAAAACCCTGAAACCTGTCTGTGATTGGGCCCCTGCTCCAGCCTGCTCTGCCCTTCCTCAGCCTCTAACTCTAACTCAACCCTTAACAAATATGTTCCGAAACTACTCCGTGCCAGGCACCTTGCCTGACATGGACACACGTTGCCTTCATCAAGGGTCTAGTTTAGCAGGGGTGGGCACAGCCCCATGGACATGTGAACACCAAGCAAAGCAGCAGTGATAGATGTAAATCAGGACCACCAGGTTCTCTGAAAGCTCAAAGTAGTAGGCTTCTCAGAAGTGAGGTGGGATTGGGAGTTAGCTGCACCTAGTTTGAGGACGAAGGGATGGAGGCAGGATTGAAGGAGGCATGGAGCAGAATGGGACCAGAGTGCTGGGGGAGGATAGGGGGTAGGTAGGGTCCGTTTCAAGGACAATGGCTGCACTTCCTCACCTTGGAGTCTGCTTTTTCTCTTTCTGTTGCCGGAGCTGCCTTTCTTTCCCATTTTCAGTGTTTAAAACCCAAATGCCACACCCACATCCTTCATATCCTGGCACCAGGAGTGATCTGACTTCCCTCTGAGATCTCTCGGGGCAAGGACTGTGACTAGAGCTGCAGAGCAGAGCCATGCCTGTTCCCCTCTGGGCTCTGCTCTCCTGGCTTGGAGGTCCTTAGCTCTGGCTCTAGCCCTAGCATTGCAGGGGAGGGTAGAGGGGAAGATTGGACTCAGGATCCAAGGCCTGGTGAGCTGGACCCTTGCAGAAACCCCTCTCACCCCTCCTGGCCCTCCTGGCCCCTGGAGGTGGGGGTAGCATGTAGGCCCTGTGCTGATTCTGGGCTGTGGGGTAGGCTGGTGGAGGGAGCTGACCCGTAGCCAGGCCAGAGCTTGTTCTCCTTTCCCCGTTCTGGTTCCCCACCAAGGAATTGCCCTCCCTGAGTCCCAAACCTCCCCAAACCTCCCCAAACCCGTGTCTACCAGATACGATAGTATTAAGTGCCCTGCCTTTGGGAATTTGTGGTGCCATTTAGGGTCCCAAGCAGAGGCTGAGTCTCATGCATCCCCTGCCCTCTGGTGGCCTGGGCAGCTGCACCTCAGTTCTTCCATCTGTGCACTGGGCTGATACGCTTTGTACCCCAACCCTGTCTGGAGGACTCTGTGGGCTCTTGTCCACAGTAGGCACTTGTAAGTGGATTGATGACACTGGCCACATCGAGGGTGACAGACAGCTTGTGCTGAGCATTCACTGCACATGGGATGTGCCAGCACTGCTTGGGAATTAGCGTGTTGCACATGCACAGTTTGAGGAGCCAGGTGCTCTTCACTTATTTTCCAAATGAGTAAACTAAGGCATGGAGGGATGAGATAACTTACCCCAGGCCCCACATTTAGTAATCAAAGGAACCAGGACTCAGACTCAGAACTGGCTGGCTCTAAACCAGGTTCCACAACTCAGGGATTCTGAGCAGGGGATGGAGGGGAAGCCAGGGGTTCCTAGTGGTGGCCGTCAGGCAGGAGATGGAGCTGCTACCCTGTTGCCCACATGGATGTTACTCAGCCCTCCAATCTGCCTGCCATCCCTCTGGGTGTGTTCAGGGTGCTGGCCTCGGGTTCTGAGGCCTGTGCTTGTCCCGCCTTTCCAGGCTCAGCGCTGGCGCAGTGAGAACTTTGAGAGGCCTGTGGACCTGGAGGGCTCCGGGGATGATGACTCTTTTCCTGATGATGAACTGGATGACCTCTACTCAGGGTCGGGCTCCGGCTGTAAGTACCTCCCTGTGTCCCTGCCTGCCTGTAATGACCAGTGTGTATCGGCGCCCCACCCCTGGGAACCCACGCAGTCCTCCTGTAGTACAGGGGTCAGACTGGGCTCCCAAAGGGCAGAGCATCCTCCTTGGCAGTGAACCAGGCCAGAGGGTCCTTAGTACTGGGGACTCCTAGCTCCCCATGGCCTCTTGTCTCTGAATCTCCATGCTGGCAGGGTCGCTCTGCAGTCCTCTAGCCTGTGTCGGAAACAGATGCCCCTCAGTGATCCAGTCTTCATGGCACTATTCATCCACTTGGAGGAATTTAGCGTCAGCTCTTGGTGGGGATGGCAGGTCCTCAGCAGTGATTGGCTTAGTTGGGGTCAGGTGGGCCCCTTGGATCCAATCAGCTGTGCCCGGGGTGGGGCTGAGGCAGGGCTGATGGATCAGTGGTGCCCAGGCCACTGGTTGGTGGCCCTGCCCTGGTGAAGGTGTGTCAGGCCGTGGGTCGGACAGAGCGCGGTGAGATTAGGTGGCTTCATCGTGGCCTTGCTGCTGCTGTCTCCATATTCTTCCTTGTAGATGGGGAAAAACATACTTTCCTCTTGGGGACTCGAAGTCAGTGTCTGAAGGGGAAGGTCTAGAAATGGTAGGTGGGTGATCCCAGTGGAGAACAGGATGGCATCTGCTGAAACCTGGGCCACATGCTATGGAACTGGCTGCTGCCAGCCTCTAGCCTCCCTCTAGCCCACTCCTTGAAGCCTTGTCCATGTTAATCTTGGTAAAGACCCTTCCCTAATGAATCTCCCTCCCTCCTGTCCTCTGCCTCTTCAGCCCCCAGAGCTCTGGGCTTCTCTTGGACACTCCCCCAGTCCCTCCTTACTCCCTTCATCTCATTTCCCTCCAAGTTTTTTTTTGCCTATCCTGGGGGCATTGACTGAGCCAGTTCCCTGTAGGAAGGGCCCATTCTCCCTCTTGCCCTCTGTCCAGGCCTTGGAGGGGGGGGTCGGGTCACTGCCTCAGACTCGCAGTGGGCATGCACCTGACACTTCCCGAATGTCACACCTCTGCTCCCTTTAACCCAAAGTGAGATTTGCAGCCAGTAGCGCCTTCATTGCTGCTGCTTGGACTCAAGCTGATAGGAGCTCCAGGCAGGGAGGCTTCCTGGAGGCATTGGTTCCCTGGAGAATGTTTGGCAAGGCACAGAGGAGCTAGAGAGTATCAGCCATTTGGAAATCTGAGGCCAGGCTGTCTTCCTCCTTTCCCTCATGTTTTCCTGGAAGCTTGGTGGTGGTGTGGGGGGGTCACTTAGACGGCTGCTGCTTACCTGGGATCCTCATCCCCTCACATTACCCAGCTCCCTAGCTTTCTCCCTCTCCCTACCCCTTCAGACTTCGAGCAGGAGTCGGGCATTGAGACAGCCATGCGGTTCAGCCCCGAAGTGGCCCTGGCCGTGTCCACCACACCTGCAGTGCTGCCCACCACGGACATCCAGCCTGTAGGCACCCCATTTGAAGAGCTTCCCTCTGAGCGTCCTACCCCAGAGCCAGTCACCAGTCCCCCAGTGGTGACAGAGCTTCTGGAAGAGCCCAGCCAGAGAGCCACCACTGTCTCCACCACCATAGCAACCACCGCTGCAACTACAGGGGCCCCGACTGTGGCCACAGCACCTGCCACCATGGCCACTGCTGCTCCCAGCACCCCTGCAGAACCCCCTTCCACGGCCACCACTGCTACCATAAGGACCACTGGCATACGGAGGCTTCTGCCTCTTCCACTGACCACAGCTGCCACAGCCCAGGCCACCACCCCTGCGGCCCCCTCAACCCCCACCACGGTGGCTGTCTTGGACACGGAGGCCCCAACACCCAGGCTGGTCAGCACAGCTACCTCCCGGCCAAGGGCCCTTCCCAGACCAGCTACCACCCAAGAGCCTGATGTCCCTGAGAGGAGCACCTTGCCCCTGGGGACCACGGCCCCTGGACCCACAGAAGTGGCTCAGGTGAGGACACTGGGAGAGGATTGGCCACAAGAGGAGGTCAGGGCCTGGGCAGGAGGATGGAGCTGGGTAGGGAGAGGACTGGGAGGTGCTGGAGATGAGCCAGGCAGGGGTGATGGGGCAGAGAACCAGGGCTGGGTGCGAGCCACGGGATCGGGACAGCGATGGAGCTGGAGAGGCAGAGTGGGTCAGAAAGCCAGGGGTGGGCTCTGATACTGGGCCATGATGCCGATGGGGAGGGGATTGGGTGTGTGGATGTGGGCTGATGGGAACTGGGTGCATGGAGTGCCATGAGGAGGGCCAGAGCCATGTGCTCTGGTGAGGAGCACAGACTTGAGAGCCGGCAGCCTAGATTTGAATCCTGCTGCCAGTTTTCAGCCATGTGACTTCAGGCTGGTCACTGACCCTTCCTAGACCTCCATTTCCTTGCCTATGAAAAGGAGAAAGTAACAAAAAGACCATCATTGTATTATGAGAATTAAATTTTGTGACACATCCAAAGTGCTCAGCACGAGGTTTGGCAACAGTACACAAACTAAATGCTTAGCCACAGTCATTGTCCTCATCATTGTTGTGACTGCTGCTGGCTGGAGGGTGACTCGGTGCTGAGCTGAGTGGACAGGGCCCTTGAGCTTACTTGTGTGGGGAGCCTGTCCCCGGGCCAGCTGTGCTCAGGCTTCTCTGTGGCCTCTCCTCTCCCCTGGCTCCACGCTCACCCCTGGGGCACTGTGATGGGCTCCTGTCCCAGAGCGGAGGCCACTTGCCAGGGCTCCAGAGCAGTGCCAGTGTCAGGATGGGAACCAAGCAGTTGGCTCCTGAGATGGGGCAGTCTGGGGGCCTGGGTGTGTGTGTGGGTGGGTGAGTGTGTGTGTGTGTGTGTGGGTGGGTGAGGGGCAGGAGGGCTGGGTGGGGACTGAGGGAAGAGGAGGATGAGGAGCACTCAGGATGGCACGGGTGAAGGGGAGCAGAAGCCTGGTCCGTGTGGCTACGCTGGGCATGGGGGCCCACAGGGCTGTGGGCAGAGCTTCCTGGAGTCAGCATCTGTCCCCCGTGGGAGCGGGCCCTGTGCTGGGTTCCTCTGAGCAGCTGGGGCAGACTGGTGCTTTTGTGGAGGCTTGGCCGAGCAGGAAGCAAAGACAATGGCGGGGCTTGGAGCCAGAGCCCAGGCCACAAGTGTAGCTCCAGCGCACTGCCTTCCTTGCCTAGGGATCAGACTCACAGCACCCAAGGGAGCAGCTGCCTTGCCTTGATGGCTCCCACAGCCCCTGCTCTGCTCTCAGGAGTCCTCACACCGTCCTGCCTCCATGTGGAGGGTGACACCAGGGTTTCTAGTCACTGGCTGGCTGTCTGGATGTGGAGTTGGGCTCTTGGACCGACTGAGGGACTCTCCTCTGCCTTGGGGCCAGGCACAAGTACATAGCAGTTGCACCCAGGGGTCCCCTGAGGGTTGTTAATAAGGCAGCTGGAGGGGACAGGATGGGGCCAGATTGAGAACAGAGGCAGCATAGTAGAGTGACTAGAAACACAGACTCTGGAGTTGCATGGATCTAGTTTTTGGGGGGTAGGAGTGGGAGGTGGCACAGATTTGCAGTCTCCTGCCCCAGCCTCCCAGAGTGCTGGAATTATAGGCATGCATCACCATGCTTGGCTGATAGATTTAGATTTCCACTTTGCTTCTGCTTATTGTGTATCCTTGGGAAGTCACTTAACCTCTCTGGGCTTACTTCCTGCTCTGTAAATTGGAGGTAATATTACCTCCCTCGTGGGGACGGTGCTTTGCACAGTGCACTGCTTACCAAGTGTGGGGAGTACTTAGCACTCTGGGGGATGGAGGGATGGTGGGGGCTTATGTGTGTGGCTGTCTAGGTTGCTTGGCCTTGACTTCTGGGGTCCTGCCCCTTCTCTGCAGTCCCCGACTCCGGAGTTCCTCCTGACCACAGTCCGGGATGAGCTGGAGGTACCAGTGAGTGGAGGCCCCAGCGGGGACTTTGAGCTGCCGGAGGAAGAGACCACGCAGCCAGACACAGCCAATGAGGTAGTGGCTGTGGGAGGTGCTGCAGCCAAGCCGTCACTCCCGCCTGGAACACTACCCAAAGGTGCCCACCCAGGCCCCGGCCTCCTGGACAATGCGATCGACTCCGGCAGCTCAGCCGCTCAGCTGCCCCAGAAGAGCATCCTGGAGCGGAAGGAGGTGCTTGTAGGTGAGGATGCACTCTCGGCCAGGGCCTGGGAGAAGCCCGGAGTGTGGCGGCCAGTCAGGGCTGTTTCCCTTGGGACTGGGAAGGGTGGTCAGGGAGTGCCTTCCTGGGATTCAGATCAAAAGGGAAAGCTGGGGACTCCACTCTGCCTTCTGGCTGCTCCACTAACCTTCCCCCTAGCTGACAGTCACTGCCTTCTCATCTCCGGAACTTTCCTCAGTGCCTTCTGACCCCTCCTTGGACTCTGACTTACCCCTGGTTTCCTGGGTCATGCTGGTTGACCCCGTGGGACATTGCTTCCTGGATACTGATTCTGACCTATCCTTTGGCTTGTTGTTCCTCCACCCTTGAACCCAGGCCCTATGGACCTGCCCTGGCCACATCTGCTAGAGAGCCTTTGGACAGGTGGTCCAAGTCCTGGCTCCCCGTTAGGAGCAGTGCCACCTCTGCAGCTTCCTCTCCCCATCTGCATCTGGTCGCTTCTGTTGTGCACAGCTGTATGGGAGTGTGCCTTCTGTAACAGGGAAGTGCTGCTGTTTAGATGGCAGGGGCTTTTCTTTCCTAATAGTTATCAACTAGTGGAGCATTTTATAGCAAACCTGGCATCTTACATCTGATGCAGACCCCACCTCTCCCTCACAGGGCAGGAGTGAGGAGTATTTTGGGGATGGAGCCTGTGCTTTCCCCCCCTTCTCTCCTGCTCTGCTGGCAGATTTAGGACTCCCAGCCCTAGGCCCCACCCTCCAGTCCCTCAACCTGCTTCCATCCTACCTCAGTACCCTGACCTTTGCTCTCTTCCTCCATAGCTGTGATTGTGGGCGGGGTGGTGGGCGCCCTCTTTGCCGCCTTCCTGGTCACACTGCTTGTCTACCGAATGAAGAAGAAGGACGAAGGCAGCTACACACTGGAGGAGCCCAAGCAGGCGAGTGTCACATACCAGAAGCCTGACAAGCAGGAAGAGTTCTACGCCTAGCGGAGCCTCAGTGCCTCCCGGCAGCCTCAGCCGCCCTCACCCAGTCCCAGCCCAGCCTTACTGGCCCAGGCCTTCTTTGCCCTCCCTCCCATGGCCTGCCCAGGCTGCCAGCCGCACACATTGCCCTGAGGAAGGGGTACTGCCATCTACCCCAGACTGTGTCCTTATGAGCTCACCTCTTGTCTCTCACCAGCCTGGGGGTTTGGGATCTTATGTCAGTGGGGTAGGAGGAAGGAAGCTCCTGATTGGCTGGTGGGAGAAGAGGAAGGGTGGGGGCTGAGATGGCCTGAGCCTCTGTGAAATCCCAGAGGGCTGGCTCAGTCTCCTTCCTGGGTCAGAGAGGCCCTCAGGCTGGCTTCTGGGACCAACACACACAAACTTGGCCCTTGAAATCATCTAGACACTGTAGCCTCACCCCTGTCGCAGGGCCTCTCTTTGCCTGGTTGAGGGGAGGGATGTCCTTTGTCACCAGCCTATTTTGTCCTGGCCTCCCAGGGGTTGTGGGACCATGCTCCCCTCTCCTCTGCCCAGTGCATACATGCCCCAGCCTTCCCTTCCTCTTCCCCCAAGGACATGACTTCCTGAGAGTGCAGGGCCAGCCACTGGTGAGGACAGCCACCTGATGTCCCGCCTGTGAGTGGACTCTACACTGACACCACCCGCTCTGTTATACATATTGTCACTTGGTCACACACAAGACACAGTGGAGCAATGACAAAAGCGCATACCCAGCGGTGACCATCCAGTCCGTCCAGACAGGTCACAGACATGCTGTCCAAAGATGTGTCTCTTCGTGCATTGCTTACCCAACCCTTCAGACACCTCTGTAATGCAAGTCACTAGTCCCGGTCACCTGAATGGTGACAGTGTGGCCTGCCTCTCTGGCCCCCCTGCACACCCTGGCCCCACACACATCACACTGAGCTCTTTCAGGCTCATTGGAGAAGGCAGAATTATGTTGGACCAGTCAGCCCATATTGGGTCTCAGTTGCCCTGTTGCACTTGGTCCCACATCAAGGTGCCCACACCAGCCACCTTGCTCCCCATCCCAGCCTCTGTCAGGCACAGTTCCGCATGGATGTACAGTCTTAGTCCACACAGCCCTGCACTCACTGGGGGAAGACAGGTGGGTGCTTGGCTTTCCTGGAATAAAGTGTGATGTGAGGGGACATTGCCACCAGCCCTCCCAGAGCTTTTCATACCCGAAGGCCTGGCCTCACCCCTGACTGCTTCCCTTCTCTCTGTGGCCTCAAGGGGAGAGGTTCAGGACCAGCCCTGCCCACTGAGAGCCCTGGGACTTCTCCAAGGCTGGAGAAGGACAGGGTTGGGTCCTGAAATTTGGCCCTGGGCGGTAGAGGGTGCCTGGGTCTCCCTGGACCAAGGGCCCTGGGTGGGGAGGGGGCTCAAGGTCTGTCTCCTGTCTCCTGCATCCTTTTCCTGCTCTGCGTTAGGGGGCTGATTCTGCCTCCCAGGACACAAGTTTCCAAAGTGCCTGTGAGGGCTGGCCCTCCGCCCGGGCCCTCTGCATCCTCTGCCCCACCCACCCATTTGACCAAACAAGTCAGCAGTTCTGGCTGCTGCTGCTGCATGGGCCCACAGCTGCCCAAAGCAGCCCATCCAGATGCCCCAGGCCCCAAGGGCAGATATTTGAGGGACTAGAACAGGTGACAGCAAGAAGGGTTGTGTCACAGGCCCCAAGCCTGCTTTCCCCTTTGTTGTTACCCTTGAAAGTGGGGCCATTTTATAGGTATTGGAAGTGTGGGGTCACCACTCCTTTGGGCGAGGGTAGCCTGATGGGGGCTCTGGGAGCCAAGGGGATGTGGTGTGACTTGTGACTGGTTGGCCCTCCCACCCCACATCTCACCCACAGCCAAATCCAAGTCAGGAGCCCACCCTAGTTTTATTTCTGTTTCCTTTTCAAGATTACCTGGCAGTGGGCTTCTGCAGAGGAGGGGCCTGAGAAAGCAAGGGCCAGGCGCCAGGGGTCCTTCATCCAGACCCTGAAGCCCTCCTCGGCAGGGCCCAGAGTTGTGTGAGGAAGTCAGCCAGCTGGAACCTCGGAGGAGGGGTGGGGAGGGGAGGGGAGGGGGATTGGCCTCCTTAGGCCCTGCAGCAGAGGGGCTGGGCATAACCAGCCTCCCCCTGCCCTGGTTCCTGGTGAGCTGCTGTCTCAGGGACGGCAGCTCTGGTGAGAAGGCCCGGGCAGGCCAAGGCTGGGAAACCAGGGAGTGTGAAGGAGGCAGTGCCTGGGCACCCAGGCCCCAGGGACGCTGGCATTGGTGCGGGGGACCAGTAGTGAGCAGAATTTCTGCCTGTGGCTGGAGGCCAACATGGGGTGGCCTTGGCTGGCCTGATTTCTCATAGCTCAAGCACTGGCTCTGGACTGGGGCCTATGGACTTGGCCTCTTGGCACTGGTCCCTCTTCTGTGTCCTTTGCCTTTGAAAGAGAGGCCGAGGGCCTTGTGCATGGAGCCCTGGACCCACGGCCAAGGTCCAGGCTTTATCTCCATGAAGTTTAATGGTCTGCCCAGGCCAGGTCCTTCAGGCCGGTCTGTGGGCAGGGTGGGGGGCAGGGCAATCAAAGAGCCCAGCCAAGGACGAGCTGGAGCTCTCTACAGTGCAATGGGGGTGTGGGGCCCTCACCCCAGCCCAGGTACGGTGTGGAATGTGCAGGGCTGGCCAGGTGGGCCCATAGACGCCCAAGTGCTCCTGAGAGGGTGTGCTGCAGGCCCTGGCATTTCCTGGGAGCACAGCACATTCCAAATGAGATGGAGCTTGTGTGGCTTGAGAACTCTCCTAGGCTTTGATCAATGGAGGGCAAGGCAGGCTGAGCCGAGCTGGGGGTGGGACCGGCCTTGGCTGTGGTTTCTAGAGCCCAAATTCAGTCTCTCCAGGTGGCCAGACTCGATGGGACTTCACCTGAAAGGCTGGTCCACTCGATCACTGGAAGAATGGGGTGGCAAACGGGGCTGGACAGGCCTATGACAGGGACTTAGGGAGCTCAGGCCAGACCCTTGGGCTTGGCAAAGCCGCCCATCAGGCCAGGCTGGGAGCAGAGCTGACTTTGTCTCCTAGGCAGGAGTGGCCTTCCTGGATCTCCTGGCTTTCCTCCGCCAGCTGCAGCCTTGGACTTGCCCCCCTGCGTCTCTGGTCTGTAAATAGAAGCCCACAACTGTACAGATTGAGCGAGGCCGAGGCTGGGCCTGGGAGTCACCATCTGAGGGCTGAAGGTCCTGCATCCCCAGATGCCCACCTGGCCCCAGTGTGACGAATGCATGTAAATATTTCTCGTAGGCAGCGTGGCTCCAGAGAGCCCCCTAAAGACAGTGTCCCCCTCTGGTACGTCCTTTCCTCTGTACAGAGCCCTCCCAGCCCCGGCCGGTGGTGGGTGGGAGTTCGTCCTTCCCAGCCTTTGGTCTTCCCCACTCTCTCTCCCCCATAACCTCTTTATTAACCATACCTGTCCTGAATTCATGGCCAAAACTTTCAATAAGGAGAAGTGGAGGAAGGACAGTGGACAAGGTGACCAGGGCACTGCCCCACTGTAGGAGTGTGCCTGGCCCAGCCTGGGGAACGAACTGGTTTGTTTTTTATTTTTGTTTTTAACATTTCCCGTGCTGTGCCCATTTATAAGAGGAAATAAAATTAAGCTGAAATGATGCACTGTTGCCAGAGTGTGAGATTAATACAGGTGACGTTTGGGAAGGGGTGGCCCTGTCCCCACCTCGGCCTAGGCCACCTTCCTTTTAAAGGAAATTGAGAATCGAGCAGGGAGAATTGACCGGCAACCCCTGTGGGAACCATCGTGGTAAAAGCTGCCCTGGGTTCATAGTGTTTGGGAGACCCGGGAGGTGAGTGTGGTTGGGATGCGGTGGGGGTGGGGGCTGTGGTTCATCCCAGGGGAAGAACCCTGGTTTCAGGCCGCAAAGAGAATCCTGGTACCACAGCATAATGGCCTTGGAGCTCCCAGGTGAGTGTCTTTGGGCCTGATGGCTTTTCCACTCGGGTGATGACATCTCCTAGCGTTGACTCTGGGCAAGGCTCTTGGCCTCTCTGAGCCTCAGCTTCCCCATCCGTGAAATGGAATGACAAATGGAATGTGGTAGGGCTTACACAAAGAAGAGCAGTCAGCACAGGGTCTGGCAGCAAATGTGACTCAGAATCTTTGATGATGGAGTTAGGGTGGAACAGAACCAGGGCTAGAACTTCAGTTGCCTGCATTGTATACTGACTCCTGGGCTTGCAGGAGCAGAGGCCTGGGGCAGGGGTTCCCAAGCCAGCCCGGCCCCTCCTCGGAGTAGAAATCCCTTCTGTAGAGCCTTGGTGAGGCCTTCCCAGCCCCCACTCTGCCCATCTCTCTTGCCAGGAGCATCCCAAGGGCCACACTCTCTCTGCCTGTTTTGAAATCTGAGCCCCCCTCACCTGAAACCCATCTTGTCTGTGTGGACTTTCTCTGGTGCTCATGGTGCTCTTGGACTCATGGAGCTGTTTTGGTCCCTGCCAGGGGACAACACCTAGGGTTGGGTGTCATAGTCACGAATCTTCCTCCTCCAAAGGCAACCTCTCCAGGCCCTGCAGAGAATTCTTCTGGAAATTTCTTCCTCTTGAAATGTGATACGCAGGGTCCTGATGGTCCTGGGCTCCACCCCTTGGTGGGTTGGAACCTAAGGCCTATGGATTTGGTCAGGGTCCTACCCTTCCCTCTCTGCCTCTTCCCCTTCCTCCTTCCAGTAAAGGTACTCAGGGGTCCACTTATACCCAGCCTCTGCTTGGGGCTGGGAGGTGAGAAGTCACCGGTACAGACCCATCCTTGGCCTCCCTGCCCTCCCCTCCAGACACGTACAGCCCATTGGGCAGCTGGACAATAACCAGCCTCATGACTGAAGGCACCCATGTGGGGTGAGGGGATCTTTCTTCCTCAGCTGCCACCTCCAAACTCTGCACACTCTTTACTGCTTGGCAGTTCAGGGACAGAGCCCCAAGGCCCAGGGCCTCACTGTGAGACCTCAGACAACTTGTCACTTGGAGTCTGCACAGTTGTAAAATGGGGAAAAGGGGCCAGACCTGCAGAGGGCTTGGATGCAGTTAAAAGCCTTCTGTGATGTGAGGGGCTGGTTTCCCAGGATTCAAAACCAAGCACAGACGGCTGTTCATCCAGGAAGCTTCTGGAAGGTGATGCTCCACTTCCTCTCAACTCCCCTGGCCTGTAGTCTCCCCTTGAGGGGCCCACATTGTCTTCCCCACTGAATTCCCCTTGGATGCGTAGAAAGCGTAGTCTTGGAGTCAAGCTGTGTGGGTCTGTGTGCTTGGGCACATTGCTCTACCTCTTTGGGTCTCCATGTCCCACCTGTAGAAGGGAACAAGAAGGCTGCTGTTTGGAGGCTATGTTGAGAGTTCACTGAGATACTGTATTGAAATGATCTGCCATGAAGCTTGGCTTCCATGACCATCACAGCAGGACTGAAATTCCTCTCTTCAGTACCAACCTTTACCAGGAAAACCTTTCTTCAAATCCTAGCTCTGCCACACACTAGCTGCAGGGTCTTGGGTGAGTTCCATCCACTCTCGCTGCTCCTGGCAAGAGGGTCTGTGCTGTTTCATGTGTATGGCATTTGCCCCGTCCTGGGCCTAGGATAGGTGTTCTGTGGCCGTTATTATTGGTGCCTTCTTTGTTGGTGCTATCATTCAAAGGGCTCAGCATGCTGGCTACTGAGTGGATCAACTGTCAGTATTGGCTCTAGTTTGACCTATGACTTAGGCTTGGGCTTGTTAGAGCTGAGGTCAGCTGCCATATGTTTGGGCTGCACAGATGGTCTGGGCATGGCTGGGAGCTGGAACATTTTCTTCTGGGCCCCTTGGTCCAAGGGAAGGTGGAAGAATGGCTGATTGTTTCTGGCAACCCAGGAGGTCACAGCCACTGGGCTAAGCTGCCTGCAGAACACAGTGTGCTCAGCATCCAGGGTGCCCACTGCCTTTCCTTGTCTCAGGGTGGGCTGGGGGCTGACTGAGGATCTCAGCTGGGACTGCTGGAGCCGTGAGCCTCAGCCCGCCTTGGGGAGGGAAGAAGCTGTGCCATGTGTGCGGTGGGAGTAGAAGGTGGACAGCAAAGGGCACCAGGGTGCAGCTCTGCTCCCGTTAGTTTACTTAACCCCAGGCAGCTCTGGCCTCTTGGCCTATTTGTAAATGAAGAAACTAAGGCTCAAAGAGCAGAGACCCAAGTCTCAAAGCTGTTAGAGGGTGCAGTAGGATTTGAGCCAGGTCCTATGGTTCCCTCTGGTCCTCATGCTGTCTCGTTCCTCCCTGCTGTGTGAGTGTGGGCAGGTTCCTAAGCATCTCTGAACGACAATTATAGCATCAGAACAGAAGCAGTAGGGTGTAGTGGAGAGACTCAAAAACTAATATTAATGCATGACATCTGTGGACTGTCTTCCAATTATCAGCACTCATTCACACGATCTCATTTAATTATTGGAAAGAATTTTTTACCCCCATTTTACAGAGAAGGCATTGACCTTACCAGCAAAATTATGCCATGGGACACTGTATCAGACAATGACTCAGCTTCTTCAATAAATAAATTGGAAGGAAGGAAGGAGAGAGAGAGGGAGAGAGAGAGAGAGAGAGAGAGAGAGAGAGAGACAGAGACAGAGAGAGACAGAGAGACAGAGGAGAGAGAGAGACAGAGAGAGAGAGAATCTATTATGTATTTTAAAAGTTATTTTGAGACAGAGTCTTGCTATGTTGCTCAGGCTGCCCCAAACTCCTGGGCTCCAGCCATTGGCCACCTCAGCCTCACACTCCCAGGCAGATGGAACTAGAGGTGCATTCCATGGCCACTGGCTAGCAAATTTATAAATACAATTAAAAGATATTCTTAGGCTGAGGCAGGAGAATCTCTGTGAGTTTGAGGCCAGGCTGGGCCACATAGTGAGTTCAAGGCCTGCCTAAACTACATAGCAAGACTCTTTCTCAAATAACAAAAGAACAAAAAACAACAAAAAACAAAACAAATCAGTTTTCAACGAGGGAACCTAATATGGATCCTGATTCACACTAATTACTTTTAAAATGCCAGCTATAAGGCAAGTGGAAATTTGAACATGGAGTGAATATTAGTCCTAACAAATCTTTTTCACTGCTTTTAGATGTGATAAGGGACCTTGGTGGGAGGAGTACTAGCGATTGACCTAGGGCTTTGTGTATGTTAGTAGCTAGGTGCTTTACCACTGAGCTACAGCCCTTTGTAAAATAAAATTTTGCTTCAAATAAAATAAGATTTTGTCTCAAACTTGCCCAGGCTGGCTTCCAACTTAGGATCCTCCTGCCTCAGCTTTCTGAGTAGCTGGGCTTACGGTCCTGCACCACAACTCCTGGCTCCTTCTCCCTTTTCTCCTCTCCCCTTCTCCTCTTGGCCCTTTCTCCTCTCTTTCCTCCTCTTCTTCCCTCTCCTCCTCTGCTCCTCATCTTTTAGGGATACAGACCGAAATCTTAGCAGGTGAAGTGATAGACTGTCTGGGATTGGCTTCCAAGTCCTGGGGGGGAGGGGTGGGGGGAAGGAACAGGAAGCGAGATGGGCTTGAGTTGATAATTGCGGAAGCTGAGGAATGGGCACATAGCGATTCATTATATTAGTCTCCTACCCTCAGTTTGTATTTTAAATTCTCATAATAAAGTGTTTTAGTGGGCTGGGGATTTAGCTCAGTGGCACCGCACCTGCCTTGCAAGTGCAAGGTCCTGAGTTTGATCCCCGGTACCACACACAAAAAAAAGTGTTTTAGGAAGGAAGAAATTGATTCTTAGGGGCCCTGGGGATCTGGCTGAGGTCTCACCCCTAGGAAATGCAGAGCTGGGTCTTCAGGCCCCCAGTCCAGGTCCCTGGCATGAGCCCCAAAGTGATGTCATACTGCCTCCAGCTTTGTCATCCACTTCTGGATGCTCAACACTTTCAGGGGCTCTGTTCCCACCCCTATTGTGGAGACTGCTTCTCATGGATGACGCTGGTGGAATAACCCAAGTGGAATCCCAGTGAGTGACGTGGCTTTTGCCTTTTCCCTCCTCCAGGGAGAGTCTCGGCAGTGGCTCCCTTCCCAGGTGAGCTTTCTAGGGACTCCTTAGCCTCGCTGTCACATCAGTCCTGGGAGGTGGGCTGCTTGGGGTTACCTCTCCCACTCGAGGGGCCCTGGCTCTGCTCCCCTCCCCTACTCCCTTGTTAAGGCTCTAGTCATGTCCAGAGCTGCATCACGTCTTGCTGGAAATCACGCAAGGGACTCTCCCCAGCCACATCTCGCTTTAAGGAAAGGACATGGGTTGCACATGCATTCTCTCGGGTCATTCTTGGAGGAACCACGTTGCTCCCCACTCCCAGCCTTGGCCTCCTCCTCTGTAAAGCAGGCATAGATGTTGGCTGTGGACGCTGTTTGTGGGGATGGGACTCAAACAGCAGGCAGGTTGAGGAGTCCAGCACAATGAGTGATACGTGGCAGGTGCAAGCAGTGATGGTGTGGGGCTCACAGTCTCAGCAGCAGAACCATGTCATCATGTGGACTGTGTGCTGGACGTATGTTGCGCATTTCTTCATATGTGTGAGGCATTTAGGACGGTACCTGGCACGTGGCATGCATGACATGAGTGTCCATTAGAAAAGTTTACATGTAGTAGCT